AATTGATAGCAGTGTTGACGTACCCTTCTTCCCATTGAAAATGTTAGAGATACTGTAAGAATGTCTGCTTGATAGCTGCGACTTTTTAATCTGTCTGTAACTAGCCCTGCAGAATTTGGAATCATGCTATTTTATTCAATTACTAACAACGGATGAGGTTAGCTGAAGGAATTCTCTGCATAATAGACTTTAATAAGCATTTGCGTCTCGCAGCTTTTTCTTATGGTCTATATTTTTACTTCGCCTTAGAAGCAAACCATCAATTTGTTTCTCTTCGCATGCATCTAACTATTAAAGAAGAAGCTCGACTAAGAATTTCGATCTAAATGCGACTTTGACTATTCTTTATGATAATTCCTTTTCACCGCTAAAATATCTTGGATGTTCTGTTTGGAATTAAAATTGCTAATCATTTGAGTTCCTAATTCATCTAAGTTTGTTCTTCAACTCAAATAAGACACCGTAATCTCTTAAGCCAAGCCTCTCTCTAAAGCTTTACAAAGAGGTTTCAAAGCTGAAAATGCTAAATATATATTATCCTGTAAGTAGGCTTTTCTTGAGATTGAAACCTGGCTAGTTCTTTGACTAAAATACATAAATGATGACTGCCATTAACAATCCATTGAAATGTCAGATAAGTTCACGTTTTTTTTCCAAAGTTAAAAAGATAAGGAAGCGGAAGTTTTGGGAGCCCATTGCAAATCATTCATAAAGAAGTTCCCATCTACAATTTGGTGCATTTAGCACATTGACTGATGTCAACTTTGTTAAATTAGTTATTGGAATCCAAAGTTCAAAGGACCAAAAGTTCAAGCGACAGCTGACTTTTTCTTTGAAATGCGAGAAGTTTAAAAATAGCTAGAATGCTATCTCTTGAGGTAGTCGGGTATGCTAATTACGAAAATCATATCTTTCCCCATAGTGGAATTTTACTGTAGGATTACGGTAGAAGTACGCTACAGGAGTTAAAATCATGGATTTCTGTGAAAAGTGGTCTAGCGGGGTTAATTGACATAACATTATATCGTACACACCCACACTAAGCCCTTACTGCAGAATTAGAATGTTATACGATGGAAAGAAAAATCATCAGTCTGCAAATAAAAGGAAAAATTGTATAACTTTTGTCACCGTCCATAACGGCTTTATCATGGAAAATAAACATTATTTTTGTGAAGAGCATGCTTATTATCCCAGGGTAGCAATCTCCACACAGATCAGTGATTTTGACCCTGCAAGAAATACCTACCGTAATTGTATAATAAGGTCCTATCGGTTATAGGTAATATGCATACCAGTCACCTCACTAGGTAGCATTATTGTGAATCCCGAATCCCGCGCCCTAAAAATTAAGCTGTAGGCTAGACTTTTTTTGGCTTTTTGAAAAAATCAAATTACTTCTAATATAACAAAACTGAAGCCCTTGACAAACCAGCTACATTTTCTTGCAGAGGAAGACCTCTATTTTCAAGAAGTACATAACAAATTACTAAAACAGCCCTTTTCTCGTGATCTTTCTCGTTTGAAAAAAGGGGAACAATTTATCTGACAACCTAATAATTTAGTTGCCATCCTGCTATAAACTTCATGCGTGATTTGTAATTAAAATATTTGTACTGGAAAATCAAATTGGACTTCTTATATCACATGTTGGCACACTCGATAATTTGTATGTGCGTCTTAATTTAAAGCTGTAAGGAAAATTTAGACACCAAGAATAGGTAATTTGCATTTTATAAACTCTATGTTTGAGATTACTGCCTCACATAATGTATATGTAAAGACTATGTAAAGGGTAGTCAGGCTTTACAAATAACACTCATAATTCCAAATTGTCAACACTGTGTGCCTCATGTCTCACAACGACTTAACACTAAGAAATAACAAGATTTGTAAACCATTTTAAAGTAACTAACTTTAGCTCATGAAATTCTGTCTTAAGTATGCTGTTCTGTCAAACATAGATTTTGTAACTTTCCAAAACTTTGCTTTTTCAGCATTTTTACTCTTCTTCATATCGCCAAAACCTCTATGCTGCTATCATTATATCTCCTTATGATCCTCTCATTTTTAGTAGTATTTTTTCTCATTTTCTTTGTGATAGTATTTAAAACCTTCGAATTTGCTTTCTTCAACTAAGATTTGAACGTACTCTTTACTTGCCCACTTCTGCGTTTCGTTTTCCTTTCTGATTGCAAGACCATCTCACGTCAAAGATTTATAGGTGATGGCCACCGATCCTTGCTCAAGTATAAGTGGATGTCGGGTGGCGTTGCTCTCATGCGGACAATTTGATCCACCTTCATATGCTCACCTCCGAATGTTTGGTGGGATCTTTTTGTTACTCTATGGTTTTCTTTTATGGAGATTTGTGAACTCAGTTCCGTTACTAAAGATTTTTAAACATTGTTGAGTCCTATCCATGACTTTGATGTCTCCAACTTTAGAACATTTTAGGGTATCCTACTTTCAAAAATCTTGTGTTTCCCAAGGCGACTCTGACTTAGAAGCCTGGGAAGAACAATGGAACTATTTTCTCTCGCAATCATACTTTTCCTTTAATCCTTCACACATTTAGGAACATATAGATCATCCTTCCATTTCTTTTCCGAGGTTATAACAAAAACATTGTTTTCATTTTTCATTCCATCCGCACATATGCTGCCATTTTGTTAACTAAATAATTAACAACAGTTCATATATAAAATTTTCTCTAATTATGAATAATTTGAACCGAAATTTGATTTTTTTCTATTAGTATCATACAAGAGAGTGATGAGGAACATTACAATATGACTCAGTTGCAATGCGGAATCTTTTTGGCACGCTATATGTAGCATCATCCAGTTTCTAGTGCTTTATGAGTCCAGCCAAAGCAACTAGAAGTAGGATGAACTGTTGTTTGCGATCAAGAAAAGGAAAAAAAAGAAAAGCTTCCAAATTTTTTTCTTTGTTATTCTGCGATCTTTTCTTCCTTCATTTTTTTTAAATTTCAGAACGCGCAAGAGATTTTCTCATGCGAACAATGGGCTGCAAAGTGGTCGAGGTTAGCAGATTCTCATTATGACAAAGTTCATTGACAATCACATTTATCATTATCAAAAAAACCTCATTTGCAATTATTTCCTCTGCTCTTTCACCTTTAAATGAACTCCGCCTTCTAGGGAATCATGAGTGTGGCTGGAGATACAGCTTCGACTCGAACACCTGCAAAACATCGTTTGCGAATGGTCGAGACGGCTGTAAGAAAGAATTTTTGGATACGGT